AAAAACTCTTTCCGGGAGCAGAGATAAAACTTATTGCTTTAATAGAAATATCAATTAAGTATTTTTCATTGGAATTTACTAAGTTGGCATGTATGATTATGCACATTAAGAATCCACATATATTTGTAACTAACATAATCGACTTTGTTTATGAAAATTTGTCTTTAATTTAAAACATTACAAATATAGCAATGCTCGTTACTTTGAATTCTGTATAAACTATAAAGCCCATAGAATGAGATGTAAACAATTCAAATATACCAATTTGTCCATTTTAAAATGAAAAATATAAAAAATAAATCCCTCAGACAACATTGAAATTAGCATCTTTTGGCTATATGATTTAGATTTTTGTGTAATATAGGTCCAAACGTTCAAACGTATATATTACATATCCCTGGCTGTCAAACGTTTAGGTTTCGGCGTTTTCAATGAGGGTTAATCAGGGAAATCGTTTCAAATAAACGTTATTTCTAAAGTGTTTATTTCATGTACCAGTCCTGGTGGCGAAGGAAACAAAAACTCGATATCTAGAGGACAATCCTTTATGAATCAAATTAAGATAACAATTGTAAATGTGGTATGGTTTTCAATAAGACAACTGTTCAGCATAATCCATAACGCTAAGTTTTACCAACTAGAGGTTAAAGTACTGTCTTTAACTATGATTAAAACCAAAACCGTTTAGCCAGGTACACATGGCCCCGTATACGTACGGAACAATACAAACGAAAAAATCTAACCAAATGATTTAGGTCAGAACAATGAACAAACAATAAATTATGGAGTACACCGACCACTAAATTACGTGTCCTTGGATTTCAACAGACTCATATATTATTGCGGGGTTCAATATATGTTTTGGTGCAAAACCATCAACTAAGTTTCAAAAGTGGAGTTACAGCACAACATAATTACAAACTTTAAAATTCATCTTGAAATTCGCTTGACTAATCAAATTGGCAGGCAGCACAATAACAAGTAACATATAGATACAAAGAAGCGATCAAGTTGTATCAATATCCCTAATCAGGTCCTAAATATAATTCGATAATTTTTCATCTCTATCAGTTATATTGGACATTTTTCTTTATTTTGTTAACAAGTAACAAAAGTAATCCATGTGTGTGCTGATTTGAAGATGACCATATAATAAAGGTGTACAAATTATGGAGCTAATGTTTAGAAAGAACTTAAAATCCAGGGGACCTTTATTTGTTAAAAATATTTTTTTTTAACTCAATCCAAAACATAAACGGTTTTTCGGGGTTTGCCTAATTACGTGATTTTTTTAAAAGAAATATTTGATCTATTAATACGGTGTCCTTCTCGCTACATAGCTCTCTTTGCTGACGCGACAATGTTCGTATCAATATCTCATTTTGACTTTTGACATATGTTTGCACGATGACTAATTCAAGCTTCTACTTTGATAATGCAAACGTGTTTAGAATAAGTAATATTTCCTCAGTTTGATTGTTAACTGTGAATTGAGAAGGAAAAATAATTTTAAGTAAAACATAAAGATATCAATGTAGATAACGGCCTAAACCTACTTTTGTCGGTCGATTATTTTAATCCTTATATTTTGTTATCATTTTTGCGGAAAGTAATGCTTTATTTTGAAAACAAACATATGCGTTCGGCAATCTGATTACTTTTTTCTAGATTCACAACACACACTATAACTTACCGTTATTATATTTTTTGTCATGGGTTTAGAACAAACGAAAAGTACGTAGTTTACCAAAACGGTATACACTGATATCTTTATTGTTTATAGAGAGACACACATAAACTCATCATAGATATCATACAAACAAGTAAGTTTAATTCTAAGTTCAATACACCCTAACCGTTCTTCATATTGGTGTTAACGGAAAACAATTGTATGTCTTTTAAGCATTGTAACAAGAATATGATTATATTATGATGTATATCAATGTCAGCGTACGGTTTTCAAATATAACATATCTTTATGTATGAATAACCCCGAAGTTCGAGAAGTTATTTAATATTAAACAAGACAGATAAAGGACTTTGTTACCACAAGTAAATAAAAACTTTCACCAAATTCTTCCATACATACAAGTATTTGGTTAATGAATTTTGCTGTTCATGTAGAAGTCTTAATATAAAGGGTTATCAGTTTCTAAATGTTACGATGATATTGTTTATAAAGCACGTTAATTTAGATATGATCCATGTAAAATCATTGATACTCTAAAAAACTTAGTTTTAAAGGTCATCAGTTTAACCATGTAGTGAAATTTTAAAGTATTGTTTTTTATCAATACTAACATTGATTTGGTGTTTTATAAACTACAATATGATTATGTATCCCTACATGTACTCATAATCAAACATTCGGTCAATACTGGCATTCAGGCAAATATATTCTGCCCCGGTGTGACACGATTGTTTGATGTTTTTCATAAATATTGGTTCTGCCATTTTTTTTTCAAATTGAGTGTCAGCCACAACAGATAAATCCATCAACTGCTTTCTTATAATGTTCATCACCGAGATATCAGAAGATTTTTATACAGCTTCTTGTTTGGAATCAAGTATTTTAATTCCTGGAACATTATACTTAACATCTACACACAACGATATGTGACGAATCTGAATCTGTAAATCCCGAGTTGCAATGTCTTTAATTACAAATTTTAATTGCATTAAATTTGTGTCTTGAAAAATGGAAAATCAGCAATCTGATTCATCGGCAGTCATAGTTTGTGATGGGGATGTCGATACGTCGTTTAGTAGGAGTAAATATACAACTTTAGACATTAACTTGATTTTTATTATTTTCTACAAAAACAATAAATGTTTAAAAGTTATCAACATTACATTTACACAATTTTAAAACTGAGAATGATTTTTCATATTCGCAAATGCATGATAGAAATGGCAATATTTGCCTGCTGTGTAGTAGAACTACTCATACAACTCGGGTAAGGATTAATGACCAAAATTTGAAATTTGTTTATATAAAGAATTTAAAAAAGATAGACGGAAACCGTAAACAGACAAAGTAATGCGTAATACAATAACAATATTTTAACTTTGGTGACCTGATTAAAACTGTAAATTGCCTATTCATTAGAGGTATTGGCCTAAACAAAATGTTTAACTGTTTAAATAATATTTCGATTTTTATTTTTTTAAAATAGCTTCTCCAATATGTTCCTCAGGCAAAGTTCCCCAAAGATGGATTTGGCAATTTTTTTTTAGGAATTTTATTGTCACATAGCATCAACTAATTAATTAAACTAAAAGTATTCCTCGTTGAAAATTGTAAAGAATCAAACAAAAAATCAGTAAGCGGGTGTCTAGATGCAAGTCTATGTAAACAAAAATGTTACACATAATCCTCTATAATTTTGAAATGAAGCGTTTTTTATTAGATTTTAACACCAAGTGTCCAAATTTGGTATCACAAGTAATTATCAAAGTATTAACAAGTATTTTATACTGTTTTTAAATTTTGTATGGTCGATTCAAACGTTTTACCAATATCTTTAGACTATAAACAACAGGCACAATTCCTACTTAATATCTGTCTAAAGGAACACGGTGATAGGTTTTGTTTTCAAAAGGCATTTTTCATAAGACTGTTAAGTTTGCACGTTATTATTGTAATAAAATGCCTTATCATGGTAAGCCTTCGAGATTACAGTATATCATTGGAAAGCCAGACAGAAAAGTCAAACGTCTGACTGCCAAGATAACTTTATACAATATACTAGGGACTGTCATTGTTTGTTTTAATGATCCCTGACATCATTTACAATTTAATACACACACGTAAAACTCTTACAATTGGATAAGATGCATTGTTGGTATCGTAAGTATTACATGTATATGCATTAGTTAATATAAATATAAAACCTGAATGACTTTATTGTTGTCGAACAAAACTGAAACGATTTTTTATTAAATGAAGTGTAATGTCTAAATTAATTTTTCACATTTGTGACAGTTCTTTTTTCTCAAATTATATTGGCTTTGCAACTCGAATACGTTTATACATATTTCAATCGAAACATCAGTATACGTGCTTATTAAATTCATTACTGTATACTGTATATGAAATGTTATGAAAATGAAAAGAAATGCAACACTTTTCAAATATAAGAATACATTGTTTTTCTTGGTATAAACGTAAGGTTTATTGCTTTTAAATATATAGATATTGTTCATATTAGTGTGCAGTTGTATTCGCAAGGAATTTGTCCGTTGCTTATATGCATTTTTATAGTCAGAATTTGTATTTGCCTTATATCCAAACACGGTATGGCCTTTGTTCATTGTTGAAGACCATACGGTTTCTGTGTCATTTGGTCTCTTGTGGAGAGTTGTCTTATTGGTAATCATACCACATCTTCTAATTATAATGCGATATTAGAACTTTTTTTGTATATTTATTTTAGAAAATCTTAACTAATAGATTAATATATTCGAAAAATCCACATTTTTTTGTTACAGCGTTAATGTATTTATACATGATCCTGTATCTGAAAGTTGGTGAGTGCAGTTAAGTATCCTTAATTTGTAGACTTTCATTTCGCCTGTCCATTTTTGTTTTATTACACGGTTTTCATTTGCTTGCGTACAGTAAATCTTGAATATGTTTTTCTCTCAACCACTAGCATTCGGTTGTATTACACTTTAATGCCACATTCATCGATGCGTTAATTTATAAAACATTGTATCCAACGGTCTTTCAGAACAGTCATTGGCGTTGGTACTGCGAATATAAAACACAATTTGTAGTTGTTAAATGCAACAATAACACATGAATTACTCAAATTGCAAATCTGAAAATGACAGCTAAACTCCACCTTAACATATTTTTTTGGTTATGAACATAGTCGCAATCCATATATGAATGCCAAAGGAACAAAAAAGAAGACAATTTGATTTTAAAAAACCAAAATTAAACCTTTCTGACGAGCAAACATAAGTCAAACATTAATCATCGGCATTCACTTTAGGATAAATCATACACGTAGTTATATAAATATATAATTTTTTTTTTAAATAATCACTATCAAAAATGGATGCCAACATTTATTGAGAAAATAAAATGACAAAATTTTATAACAAATGAATAAGTGTTAAAGGAAACCTGAAAAAGACCAATGGTGTGTGTGTCTGTTTCAGAGGGAGGACAAATCTGCATGAAATGTTCTCATGTTGCCCATCCTGATTGTGGACAAGTGGAACGGTGCCAAGATTACGAGGTACATTGAATATAACATTGAGTATAATCTTTCGTATTGCGTCATTCATTTAAACATAGCAGTATTTTTTTATAAATTATTTGGAGATAATTTCAATGCTTATACATGTTATATGTACATTTCAACAGACAAATATTTTATATAACATGTATAAATAAGAGTCAAACTCCAGTTATGTAGAAAGAAATCGTCCCTGAAATCTATTTATAAATTTAACATGGTTGTTTAAAAATGTATTGAATCTATAGAAATTGAAATTAAAAGTTTATTTAAACAAGTGTATCGGTTTTGACTGTTCTTGTATAATGTCTTTGGTTCTAATGGTCTTGAACGTTTATATTTTCTGATTCAAAATTTGATCTGAAGCGTGCCTCGTGATTTTTTAGAATTAAGTTTAGTAAGCATAAAAACGGAAATCAAACTTTTTGTTTGTATAAGTGTTATATTACATGTACATTGCATATGTGCATCCATACATGCAGATGGCAAACCTTCAACTAGCTTTACAAACGAAAAAGTTGGTTTATTTGCAACAACAACAAAACATGTTGCTAGAGAAATCAATTTCAAGACGATGTCTTGTTTAGTAGACGTGTGACATGCATACACACATGTACATGTACAACTGACTGTCGAATATAAAGTCTTGCCCGTTACGTCATTTATAAGAGTAAAATTTGCTTGTCAAATGACTGGATTTACTGTCAGAGAAATAAAGTCATCTAGTATAAGGCTTCGAGGAACCTATCTGCTTTTCAAAATTCCAATTTTTTTATCTACTGTATTCTTTTTGCGGTTTGTTTCTTTCTTGTTTTCCGCAGCAGCGTTTAGAAAGCTTATCCATGAAAAGCAAATACAAATGTAAAGCAACTGTCAAAAGAAAAATGACAAGTGACACTTTAATCATGCACAGATATACAAGTTTAAAATATGTTCTTGCTAAAAGCTGTGTCTTTTCCTGAAATCTGTATCCCGTGACGTCATTACACGCAAATATGTGGTTCTTGTTCCAGCCTCAAATGCCCCAATCTCAAATGTGTGTGATTTGGCGTGATGCCGTTTTATTTTATTTGTGTCCCTTTGTTTATTCAAATCCATATGATTTATATAAGGTAGATTTGCAGTGATGACATGTGACATGGGACAAGTACACGTTGAATGTGACGGGGGTATATATGTTTACCAGCGCAGAATCCCATTTTCCCATGGAAATTGGTGTACCGAAATAAGAACACATTTTAAATATCAGTCGGATAACGCTCGACTCCTAAGATCGGAACAAAGTAAAAAATTAACACAGAGAAAAGACAAAAAACGATAAATAAAATACTGTTTTGCTTTCAAGGCTTCGTTACTCACTTGAAGAACACAAAAAAAGGATGTTTGACCAATGTGTCTACAAAATGTAAATTGACAGCCTATAATAAAGCTCGATCATAATGCTACATTTATTAAGACTGAAGCAAAGAAAAAAAGATTTTTTTTACAATTTTTTTATATTTGTGTTGTGAGAAACAGTAAGCTTCTATTTACATAGTTCAACATGCATTGAATTTTTACATGCCTCAACAGGTATTTATTTATTTGAATGTAAAAGTCGTATTGATGTCTTTGACAACAACAATATCTCCTTGATGGCGTTTTGATCATTTTGACGGCAACACACTTGACAGGGCAACCCTTGTTGAAAGAGACACTAGTAGAAAATAGAAAGTACGTCTATGACAAAATAAAGAATAGGACATAGACCTGAGGAAAGGACACAGATTTGAGGAGAATATAAATTCTAGGTTAACATATATAAGTATCATAAGTGTGCGTTTTCTGAGATATGACAACGTATATGATTAGAATTGGTTGAGAATGTCGTCAATGAAATTGCCGGCAACACCGTATTTAGAATCTGGGAATTGCGTGTCTTGTATTATTTTATTTTCTTTGTAAAAATGTCAATATCGAAACCTTTTATTATAAATATAAGAATCATAATTTAAAGAAAAGAGAAGGTAACATGTTGGCGTTTGTTGCCGTCCATTTTTACCAAAAATAAAACAAAGTCATATGATGCCCTTATAATTCACAAAATCAACATTAAATCCTGCAAGAATATATATGTTATGGTTTTTCAAATGTGCATACACTGTATTTCTATGCAATCATGAGCGTGTAGGATGACAATTTAAATCAACCAAAAAACGTGACTTAATTATGTACTATCATTCTATCTTTTCTTATTGTCATTAACCTCTAATGGCTAACATTTTTTTGAAATAATTATACAAATATTCTATTTAGGAGTGCTACGTTAGAGAATACTTAACACATTCTGGACGTGCATGGTTCGAATCAGGTTGTGCTGACACACAGGTAGTATGTTTCTCTATAACATTTAAAGTCATATCACACTATTTCTTGTAATTTTCATATTTTGCATACTTACTTAACTAAGTCATGTATGCCCGGATTTTTTTTTTTAATTTATTACAACTCCATAACGTTTTGTCGACAAATATTAGTTTATTCAGTAATTATTGATCGCAAACTAATTAACTTTCGAGTGTGTTGTTGAAGTTAAGCGGATCGTGACATTGATAAACAATCAACACACAGCACGAGGAGCTAGTGATAAATTAGGGCATTGATAGAGCCTTGAAATGTTATTTTGATATTTTCCATGCGTTCCCATTTGTAACTTAAACTTTTCCTTAACAGTTTTTAAATGATTTGTTGTATTAAAGTTGTTCTTTAAGAATCGGTTACTACTTTTTACCTTCCAGTGCAAGTTTGTTTACATTCTTTCAACACGGTTTTCCCTCACAATTGCGCTGTGCGGTGGCCAAGTTCTTAAAAGAGGTCTCGTAGTTAAGGTAACTGCATATGGGAAATATCGGTGAATTTGTGTACGGAAGAACAATAATTAAATAGAAGTACATTTATAAAGATTTTAATAATATTAAGGATTTTCTTTTACAAGAAAGTTCACGTTCACTTGATTTATAGCAAAACTTAGCCAAACAAATATATAAACATTTTCAACTTATTTTTTTAATTTGAAGTGTCATATGACTTTAAACACAGTTTACAAAAACTTCAAATGAAACAGCTTTCAAAAGTATACAGAATTATTTTGATGCTGAATCAAAAAACTATATACTATGTATCACAGTTACTAGTAAAAAAAGAAAGGTGATGCACATTGTTTTTCATTTTGAATTTTCAAATTAAAGAAATTTTTATATATAATATGAATATATTTTTTTCGTATATTTCTGACGTCCCAGTGATATAATAAAAGATATTTTTTCCACAAATGTAATCATATACTTTCAGCAATTTTAAAAAAGAAAAAAAAACATCCTTTACGGATCTTAATTCACTTATAAAAATTAATTGACCGATTTTGACATGTTATTGAATAAATATTTCAATTCTTGTTGCGCTATGGGCAGTTGAAAAGAATTCAAAATAATTTGGGTCGAGTTTGTATAGATTTTTTGTTATCACTTTAAATAATGTTTAACAAAAAAATATCATACTTATTTAAGTTACCATTAATTCGAAGATGATCAAACCGCTATTAGTTAATACTCAATTATTGTTACATTATTATATGATATAGTTTCGTTTATAATCGAGACCTTTCAACAACTGATTGATTATTGATATTTTACGCCACTGTTAGTACAAATGAATATATCAATGTGGCAAGTTGTTATTATTGGTAGAATCAGGAGAGCCAGGAGAAAAGTGTTTTAGGAAGGTTCTTCACAAAACATCTTGAGGAGCTGTAATAAGAATTTTTAAGTGCAAAAATCATAATAATAAATATTAACTATTCTGCATCGACATTGATATGAATTTATACATCATGTTGTTTTTTTATCCAAGTCACCCTTTGTTTTCTTGTATTCAAATATTCACATTGCCAGACAAAACGTCTTGACTTGTGTATGTTTATCATGTAACGTGCAAGTTGAAGACCTATCCAATGTTGTGATACGCCGAATGCCACTAATCACCAAATGTTTGCTTGCAATCAGTAAAACTATTAAAATCAGGAACGGTTACCCTACGTAGACCTTTATTTCATCTGAAGGTTGGGTTTCTTATGGATTCCCATGAAGTTCATGAAACACTCTCTTTGCTTGTTACTTTCATTTTCATCCTATTATTCGAATGTTGAAATTTTAATATGTTGTGATAATATGTTTGTTGTCTCAATTGACACTTAGTTCGTATTGGTCAATTGAATCTTTTCTGAGATATATTTAGTAATGAGTTTGTTTATTTATTTCATGGACATTATATGCAAAACATTAAAATATAAGAAATATAATATATTGCCATTTTGCTCTTTCAAGTTTTCAAAATTCTCTGTTTAGGGGTAGCATAACCACATGTAAATTCAAATTTAATAATATAAGTGAACACCCGAGAATGTAATCAACAAACGTTTGTTGCGTCCGTCTGTATTATGTAATTTTACGCAAATAAAAGGCCATGTAGTGTATGCTTTTTGTATTCTTTACATTTGGTAAATTGTGCGGTTAACAGGTATCTGAACTCTGTACTATCATCTTTAGAAATGTAAGTCTGACCCTGGAATAATCTCATCCGGATTTGGAAGAAGACAAACAGAAAGTTTGACAGTTTGCGAAAAATGTTGCAACGACACAGCTATTTGTAATGCAAGAGGACTATGTGGTGACATAAGTAAGTTTAGTTACAATGAAATAGCCTTTTGAAATGTATTTGATGAATTTACACCCAGAAATACTATCACAATTTTAACAATGAAATTCACACTAAACCAATTCTGTAATTTCGGATAAGGTAGAAATTTGACGCCATATATTCATTTGCAGGACAAAATCCAGAAAGATTATTATAATCTGTTGCATAAAATTAAAAAAAAAATGTACAGCAACGTTTGTTAGTGCAGGTGTATGTCATTATGTCTTTCAATATTTCTTTTTGTAGGTTTTCAAATACAAGGTCCAATTTGTTTTCAGTGTCCAGATGCTTTAAAATCGAATGATTGCGATTTAATAACAACGTGTTTCAAACATGAGGTATTATTTAATGACAATGCACCACAAAGAGATTCAAAATGGGTACAGTTTCCTGAAGTGATCGTGTTCGCATAAATCGGTCAAGATTTTGTTATCCAGACTAGGTTCTTTCCCGAGGGAATTGAATGCGATCTAATTGCACTACAAAAGTATAATGGTTTCAATAAAACATCACTGAATAGTGTATATAGTACAAATTCTAGCTTTCTTAAAAGCTTTGGAGTTTTTCGCTGTATCATAACATTAAGTAGGATTTGGTTAATGTGGTTATTTAAGTATATGAAATGTGTTATGAATCTCCTTTGTGAATACTCATAATTGTAGTATTATAAGCCGGCCTTAGATGTAAAGAATAATGGTATACTGTAGTTTGTCCATGAACACTTCCTAAAAAAACGTCAGTCCAATTTGCCTCAACAAATACACATACAATTTAAAGGAAAATTTATGATTGATAGAAAAAATCTTCGTTTTGATTTTCAGAGATACCGTTTAATTTTCAAAATTTATGATTTTTCATTCCACAGTTATGGGACCTCCACGGTCATAATGATAAAAGGCAATAGTCTACAAGCTATGCACTATATATAGAATGTTTGGATCAATTAAACTACAAACTTGTTACTGTTGTTCGTACTGGTGAATCTAGACTCGCTTTGGATTTTGAAGATTTTATCGTTTGTTGTTCTAGAGTAATGGAACTTTACACAGCCAGTTTTGATGCAATATTTATTTGCATATAGATATCATCATGCTTTGTTACTTCACAGTAATTTTATTGACTTGTTATTGGATGTCTTCTGAATATTCCGGATCATTATCACAATTTCTAATTCACAATTCGGGGGTATGATGTGCTCTTGGCGTAGCTATTTTTTCCTATAGCATATGATTTTATGACATGAAATGCATGTATTCCATAATTCAGGAAGATCATCGACAGTACTTTGTATTTTAGGTGTTGGTGCATATGCATATATAGTCAGATGAGCACTCATCTTTGCCCCTCCTTTTATTCATCAATATGAATTTGACGCGACATTTTATAGCAAGATAAATCAGTTAAGGCTAAATTAGCCATTTATCGGGTATCGTATCGGATATTGAATACCCATTCTGTAATTTTACCATATTTTATATCATCTCCTGTCCGGAACAAGTTCTCAATTATGTATCTCATTCTTGCCAATAGAACCTTCCCCACATCATAAAGCAACCAATGAAAACTGTTATTTGTTATGTAATAATTTCAAGATGTCATGAATATCGTATGAAACTAATATCTTCGCACCGTGATGCGATGCAACAAATACTTTGTTCCTGTGTAAATGGTCATTAGAATAAAGAACAAGGAATAATACATGTTCCTCATCATTAAATACTTTCTTTGCCATATTAATCAATAAAATGTTATGGGTATTTTATTGATCCAAACATACATACATTTTTTTTTTTCAAACGTAAATGAATTTAAAGTTTACATTTAACTTGTAAGTCATAAGAATATTGTTTGTTTTGTCTGGTGAAACCCGAATGCTACTCGACCAAACCTGAACTGTTCTCAATAAGTTCACGAGAATGGTAAAACTTAGCCATTCGAGTATATAAAATTTATTCAACTTTTTTGTAAATTTGAAGTTTCATATGGCATTGAACCAGATTTCAGTTTGTCGATAACGCAATGTTCTACCAACTTGTTCTTTTGTCGACATAGTATCAGGAAGTAAGGATAAGATCTATCTGTTGACATTTTTCAGAAATGCTTCCTGCAGAAGAAACGAAATTCCTTCACTCACCGATATCATTGGTCATCAGGATGTGCTTCTGAAATTGTGGTATAGTCGTAATTTTCAAAATTGTTCAAAATTTTAAATAATATCAAGTTCATTTAACCTTGAATGATACCCTTTATGTATAATTTTTAAAAAAAATACGTGTTGAAAATACATTACAAAAATATTGAGAAAAATGACAAAACAGAAGCTTGGTGAACGTCATGGAGTAATTACATCAGGTGTGTTGACTGGAGAAACTTATTGATGATTTACTGCAGACCAAGGTTGGTTTTGGTGATTTAAGCATTTACCATCAGGAGTTATGCCTCTTATTAATACAGAAGGATTTCTACGGGTATTATTAAGGTACCGGTCGATCATTTGATTTAGTTTTGAACACAACTGGATTATGATGTTTTAGGGGATATTTCCCGTAGTTGCATTACAATCTAGATTATTTTATATGTGATATTGAAAGTATCATTATATGACTTCTTTTTTTTTTCTAAATTCTAACACATTGGTATGAATTATGAAATACAGGTTACATTCCATTTGAATTTTGATTTTTAAATTTACCGTTTTAGAGTGGTATCTGTAACTTCTTAATCACCTAATTCTAGTATGTTTTGTGCATTGCTGCTTTCGTTTTCGTATTTTACGGATTTCTAAATACATGATATATTGATATTGAGCGTAGCTGATGAAAGTTTTTTCAAAAACACGTGTTTTATTTATGAAATTATTATCGAACATTAGTTATTTCTAATTTATTTTGTTTACATTCCGTAACTCTAGTTATTAATTATTAAATATGTTGTTAGACATTTGATAACTTTCTCTTTTTCTTTTTTCATGCAACTTTCTTGTTGACCTATTCATCCTATAAGCATACTTCGTTAAGAAATTGTTAGGAAAGAAGTATAATACATTACAGTAAGACTTATGTAATCAGGATTTTAGTTGCCACATCGATATAACTATACATTTAAATTCAATTCAAATGTAAGTGTTACTAAGTACATACATGACATAGGTAATCAATGAACATATTAGTATATTGCATGGGAACGGTGAAAGGGGACATTGTTTCGATGTAATTGCTTGTTAAATAATTCTCGTGATAAATCTATTCTTGAATTTTTGGTAGTGCCAATTTCTACAACATTTTCAATCTGATGATAGACTTTGCAACTACTGCTGCGATGGAGATCTTTGTAATACAGAATGTAAATATCATAGTGTCGACTTTAATACCACAAAATACAACTATGTATCATTGGAAACCTCGACACAAGGCAAGTGTTATATTGTAAAAGTGTACTGCATGCAGTCATGTGTCCTTCATATGAAAGCATGAATGTATAAAAATCCTATTCACAAAGATAAGTATTTTGTATATTGGAATATCGTATCAATAAAATTATTGACTTTAAAAAACATAGTTATTAGTCTTCTGGCTGATAGGAGAAATGCCGTCTTTTTCGTTCTGTTGTGTCCAAATTATACATTCAATGAATTTTCCTATCCAGTGAAGAAAAGAGAGCTCTAACATATTTTGAAACAAACGTTTCTTAAGTTATCACATAAATAGTGATTAATTTGTCACAGCATTATTCAATCTAGGAATTTTAGGCTATTTGTAGTGTACACCTTCAGTACATGGATATATTAGTAATAAACTTTAGAGAAAGGAAACGTATTGAGATTCAAATATCTTCAAGCATAAATAAAAAGATGTGGTATGAGATTCAATGAGACAGCTATCCATAAGTGTGTAAACAGTAAACAATTATAGGTCAAAGAACGGCCTTAAACACGAAGCCTTGGCTCACACCGAACAGCAAGCTATAAAGGGCCTCAAAAATTACTAGTGTAAAACCATTCAAACCATTCAAACGGGAAAACCAACGGTCTAATCTATATAAAAAACGAGAAACGAGAAACACTTATGAACCACAACAACCGACAACCACTGAACAACAGGCTTCTGACTTTGGACAGGTGCATAAAAAATGCAGCGGGTTTGAACTAGTTTTTTGGCGCAAAACCCACCTCCTAACCTGGGACATTGATGAAACGGCAAAACGAAAGAACAAACTATGCAAAACAATAACGAAAAAAAATATGAGAAACAGCAACAAAGACAACTACTCGATTACAGGCTCCTGGCGGGACAGGCACATATCGAATATGACAGGCGCCAACCTTCACATTAACCTGAAAAATAGAACAAAAGGCTTATTTTAATTTTCAAGAATACTTTTCAGGAGATAAACTATACTGACCTGGGTAATTCGCGAATTAAAAAAAAAACATCGATTCCCTTAAAAAAAAATGTTTGTACAACACAATAAAAAAACTTGATTTAAGTTCGGGAAATATACCCTCCGGCTCACTCCCCCCCCCCCCCCCCCACACACACAACCACCCCCCTCCTCCCCCCGCCGCAACCCCTTAATTGTTGACCTTTGTTAGCATTTATGGCAAACAACAAAAAAGATAAAAAGAAACTGTAAACAACAAAATGGATCAGCAATACACGATATACATAAAAATGGCCGTTGTTGAAGGTGCACATATATCCAGGAGATCGACACATGCTCTTTAGAGCCTCTAGTCTCCATTCATCTTTATATTATATTTTATTTTCTTTAAATGGATATGTTATTATATTTGTATACTACTACAACGGTATCGTTTACTTTTACTTCTACTTATAACTGTAAAAAAAATTCCTTTACAGAACAAACTTCACTTCAGATAACAACTGAAAATATTACAACTGTCAATTATGAACTTCTTCCCTGCGAAAATCGTATTTTAAATGGTATGTTTTTTCTCCATTTTCGATACAACAAAAATCTCTTCAGTAATTTTACTTTTACTTTTACAGATTTGTATTTCTTGATTAAACACCTTCTGGGGCACAACATATATTTTTCCGTATTTAGGGTATATTGAACGTAACGTTTCTCATTCGTTACACTTATACTAGCCGTTTTGTTTTTAATGAACTTAAACTAGCCCTTCATCTCCGCTTAATTCTATGCAGACGGTGTTTGGGTCTCTGAAGTAAAGGAAAGCCGATTTGTACTTATTATCAGGGGTAATGTTCAGAACACGATCTACATGTGGTAATCTCTAATATTAAACGGCTATGTCTAAGATTCGAAAACTGTATACAGAATTTCAACACACGTGATCGGCCTATCCAAACAAACGAGCAACGTTAGTGGTTAGAACTTGTGATATCCTTTTGATAATTTTTATCATTTTCGAGAATGGTGTTTATTCAAATCGTGTCTACTGTATAGATATGTGTCTTTTGTAAATGCAAGGCAAATATCGTTTACTGATGTTAAAATCTTATAACTTTATTCAGAAGGTAAATCCATCAAGGTAGATGCGTATCAACATTCAGTAAAAATTGCAATATTGAGAATAGAACACAATCGGTTAATTAACAGATCAGATGATTGTTTTGGTCTATAAAGAACTAAGAAACAACTGTATCGATCGGTGTTTTGATTTATTTTTTAACCGAGTTGCTGTACTGCTGTAGATATATTCACATTTCACTTTATTTGCTTATTTCAAATGTCTTCTGTTTTTTTGTTGTTTTTTTTTTTGCAGATAGTGGTGAGTAAAGGTCAGTTATCTTTTACTTGTGCAATCGAAAGAAACACATTTTATATAAACAGACTGGTAGTTTATCCTAATACAATATGGTGTATTCGTATAATTTAATTAACGCTTTCATCCTCCATTCAATGTTCCGAGGGGCCTCGGTGGCCGAATGGTCTAAGTAGTGCAAATACTGTTACCACTAGCCAGTCAACACTGGTGTTGTTAGTTCGAATCCCGCTCGTGCGGGTGCACTCGACTCCAATCTTAATTGACTAGCATTTTCCAGTTTTCCTACCGAACATGCCGAAGGTAGCTGGTTTTCTCCGGGGACTACGGCTTCCTCCGCCAATAAAAACTGGCCGCCACGAAATAGCTCAATAGTGTTGAAAACGGCGTTAAACATCAATCATTCAATCAATCAATCATCAATGTTCCGTACAAAAGTAAAAAATCTTTAGAAAAAAAAAGCAACTCTTTTACTTGAATGGAGATTGCAAAACTAATGTTCAGTACTCATCGGAAAAAAGATGCGAACAGTTATAAACGACTTAACGACTTAACGTAACAGTAAATCTGGCAGCCTGGTAGAGGTAATGCGCACACACGACATAATAAGTCGTTCGAGGATATTAACTATATATGGTTCGACAATCCGATAGTATATTTTTGAGTAGCATATTGTTGAATAATATACGGCCAACGTAAAATGTTTTTGAGTGATTGGAGGGGAATCATACAATTAATTACATTTCAAACTATAGTTTAAAAATCTGCTTTCATGATAGGAATCAGTAATGAACTTTTACAAACTATTAAAATGTCTGCTCCCATCTGAAATTTAGAAGGTCGTTTCATTCATCATAAAATGAAATGTCAGGCTACCTCAAACTGTTTCGGTGAAGAAGTAAACGTTATTGCAAACGTTAATGTAAAATAACAGCATATAGTAATATTTGTCCAACTGTTTTTTTTTAAAGTTAGAATTCTACCAAAGTCTATAATTAATGTTGATGTATTGTAGATGTTTAGCAGTTTCGCTATTTATAATTCAATGTATATTACAAAATTTTGATTTTAAAATTCCTTATTTGGCTTTTTCATGTTATTCAAGAAAACTTAAAGCTCAAATTGAATCTTTATGTCCAGGAATGCGAATATAATTGGAACTAATATTTTCTCAGAAGTATACAATAAAAAGATGTGTTATGATTGCAAATAAGACAAATATACACCAGAGATTAACTAACGTCGGGGTTAACAACTTTTGGTATATGAAAGACAATTTATCAGTCTTGAATAGCACTTTTGGTCGACATTTATTGTAGATCGGCAGTGGGTTGCAAATGTGACTAATTATTCATCACAATATAGTATAAGGTAAGTTGTCTTGACCAACTATCATTTTTAAGACATTGGTTGTATGCACCGATACAGTGTTTTCCTATTTGTTCGATAGTCATCGCACTTCTAAGATGTTGCCTTTATAGTGTAAAGACTTGCTTACCCATAATTGAATATAAGCTTTGAAGTCATCCATGAGAATATGAGGGGCAGGTTATATGATCAGATAAATAATAATTTAAGTTTTAGGGATACACTGATAGCAACTGCCTAATTGATGGACAGTAATTTAAATGTTCGTGTCCCCAATAATTTCTGAAACACCTCCAGCTCTATGATAGTCCTCCTTCAAAAACAAGTAAAGGTACTAGAAGTAAGTAAAATATACTTTAAGATGTCTTCCTTAAACAAAACATTTTCACATTCTATTAATTAGATTTCATGATAAAAACATGCAACAGGTGTAAAAAAGACTGAACGAAAAATGTAAAGTCAAGAAGATGTTTTGTTTCAGCAGAATGAGACCTAGTGGTAATTTGTACACTGTTAATGGCAAAGATTTCCCTTTTGCACAAGTTGATGTTAAATTTGACTAATCTGATTTGAAATTCATTGCGAAAAAAGAAATGTATGATGCCTTTGTTTTGTAATTCTAATTTTGAGTATTTTTTTCCATACGATTATACAAAATCAATCAAAATTGTATTTGAAGGTTTACAAGGAAGATAAAATACGAGTCGTTGTAATTTGAACCATTGCTGTTTTCTAACCAACTGTTTGTTTGATGACAAGTGTTATTGAGAATTACCATTCAGAAACGATGTTGTCAATCGTGTGACACAGAAAAAAATCTTCCTAGCTTTCTTGTATGTGATGGGGCTTTTTTTACTCTATTCTAAATTTTTCCTGTCATGTTTTTAATTCGGGTCATTCTTTGTATGTAACCATGCGGTTTCCCTTGCAATTCATGTGTTTGGTGTTGTTATTGTGGCAATACTCATCATCTCCATACCCCTATTTTTGGTTTATTTCTGCAACAAATGCTGCAATTACCACATTTTTAATTGAAAAACAAAGAGGATTTGAAATACAAGGATCAACTATGATATGAAAAGGACCAATGTGAATGAATATAGAAGCTTTAGGTTAATTAAATACAGAAGATATGAAGATATGATGCACGTGAAGTTAGCGACACCTTGAACCATTTGTTTTTAGGTCCTGAATATTCAACCGGGTACTAGGAATCGGTTCGATATTTAAATACTTCCTGTCAAAAACATAAAAGTTTAGATATTGGATTACAGAAAAAAAATGATAGTCAGAGTTTAAAGGAGTAAAAGGACATTTGTGGCCTCTACAAGTTATTGTAGATTTTCGTTGTACAAATATATAAACCCTTACGTAAATCACAATTTTCTCTGTTATGATACGTAGATTTGTATCACAAAAAAAATGAAATCAAAGATGGACTTATCAAAAACATAATGCTTCAATTTATCGGCAATTTCTACATTCCCTTTTTGATCTTACTGTCTGATATTTTTCTAGATCATGGAAAGGACTTGATACTCGAAAATTTTAGGAAATGACGTTGAGTATCAATGCACAAACGTCGCGAGTTCGTGTCCATCAGCGTCAATTGACCAACGAAATGCACGCGACTTCATTTTTACAACCAAATAACTTTGAAAGGTTAGGTAAACATAAAAATAGTTTTACTTACTATCTCATTTTATTTAATATTCTGAACAACGAAAACACATACTGTTGATACAAAATACCGATGAAAAGAATAATGGCATTTTATATCTTTTACTGACTTTATCAGCTCGAACATCACCTTCCCTGGTGGGCTTGCTTGATATTTTTGCTGATTGAGTCAGTATCAAAAACACAAATTCCATTATTCTTTTTATACTAAAACAAAGAGGGACTCTAGGAACATTATAAAATATAAATAGATGTAGCTATGAAAAGCCAAAAAAAAATTAATTCCGATTGACTAAATATCAAAAATTTAGTATGGTAAAAGGGCCCAGGGTGTTGGCTAGATCGTCCTGATCTTTCAATCTTCATAATATCATGCGTAAAATTTGCTTACATATTTATATGCAATTGACATCCTGAGGACTGTTTGAACGAATGAAAGATCCGGGAGGTCAAACCCGACTGTTTTCCATCGATATTAGGTTTTTTTCATAGTTATATGACACTTTAAGGCCCATGAACGTATCAAATAGGACATTGTCGTGGACATCCTTTTGATAGTAAATATATCTTTGTCTAGTCAAAAACATTTTCATAGACCTTCATACACATTGAATACAAAGTATTTCAACAAATTTGTCATAATAAACAGAGCCTCTAGCCTTTGTTAGTCTTGTATTATTTTTAATTTTAGTTTCTTGTGTACAATTTGGAGTTTAGTATGGCGTTCATTATCACTGAACTAGTCTATATATTTGTTTAGGGGCCAGCTGAAGGACGCCTCCGGGTGCGGGAATATATCGCTGCATTGAAGACCTGTTAGTGACCTTCTGCTGTTGTCTGTTCTATGGTCGGGTTGTTGTCTCTTTGACACATTCCCCATTTCCATTCTCAATTTTAGATGAGTTGAAATTACATTATAACTTTCTATGTGCGTTCCTGGTGTAGGTCGGTCATGAGGTGCGATTCGGACGGAAGAGGTTTTTACAGTGTTTACCCTTGTATTTATAGTTTACTTAATTCAAACTCAATTGAGAAAATGTTTACAATATATTGAATGTACTATCATCCTCAAATCTTTATTTTCACGTAAATGTACTATGTGTTTGGGTTGCTTACCCAATTTTGTCATTATAACAGAAGATATACAACTGTCATACAAATGGGAGATTAAGGTAGCTATACAAACAGGTTTAACCTACCATTTTCTTCGAAAAATGCCTGTACCAAGTCTATATGACAGTTGTTTTTCCCTCGTTCCGTTGGTTGTTAACGTTTGACTTTGTCAGTTGGGTATTTTTGTTATATTTCCCGTTGATTTTCGTTGATTTTTTTCTGTAAAGTGAGACTTAAAGCCCCCCGTACATATCGAAAATGAAAATGTTCAGAGATCTTTTTTAATAGTATTAACATCTATGCTAGACTAACTGGAATCAAAATTTTATAGACATTGAAAAATCAAAAATGTCCCAATGTGATTTCAGCGGTCCCAAGGAGGCTTTTGCAATAAATCATCACTTATTCCATTGATTGATGGCGTTTGAATTTGTCAGTTTTTATCGACGTCCCCTTTTTTTGAATTTGTCTTGGAGTGCAGTATTTTTGTTTTACTAGTTTTTTTTATAAATAAAAGCAATTTAGAATTGTCAATCATGGTTTTACGTATTTATATATTTTTCATACGTTAACAAATTTTCCGCTTTAAGAATTCATTTAACTAACCATAACTTTCATTTTTATTACCGATATATTTTGAATATCAAACCGGCTACTAAAATATCTCTCCAAAATTACATCTTCCCGGTTGATCAACATGTTTGAGCCATCGCCTTTCTGTATTTGTACTAAAATCTTCAAGACAGCATTTTGCAAAAATGAAGATCACAGGCAAGTTTTGCTTAATGCCACCCGTCGGTGATTGGCGGGTCCATCCGACCTCCCGCCTTTCCGGAAATATGAGCAAAATCTTATTAGAGAGTGTAAACAACAACAACAAAAAAGAAAACCCGCTTGTTTACCGTCCTCTACCTACAAAGGTCACTACCCGATGCAAACGTTGAACGCTTGATTTAAACAGGACATCTCTTTTTATGTTCGGAAAGAAACATTATGATACCTACCCACAAATCTGACCAGGAAGAGTGGTTCTAATAGGAGATGATGCTCCAGCTCGGATCGCTCTCAGGGTTACTAATGCAAGCCATCAACCAACAACCCGCACCTCATCCTCCTTGAACGTATATACAATGCATACACGTTATGATCTGACAAATAACCAGTTTGTAAATGATTAAATATATACAGATAAACTTCTCGTGTATTTTATTAGTTGGGCCGCTACTTGTGTGATTGGACCTCCAGATGTATACCCAAATTACGGTGACTTGCATGGTGCATGGGCACCCTCAGATTATGGTGATAATAGCATAACGGTACTCTAAATTGTCTTTATTTTAATTTTTCTGTAAACGGATTAAAGATTAAGATTTAAAAAGAAAACATAAAATAAAATAAAAAATATTTCACATGCCTAATTGCATTTTGTTGAAAGACGTTATCTAACGCAGTGATATTCCTTATCGCTCGAAATTAAGTTCTGAAACAGACTTTACCGACTATCTAAATACATAATGTGAATATTACGTTGTTTCGTGTATATCGAAAGCAATACATTGTAGCTACATGTTGGCTTATAAGATCAAAAGGCTGGTTTTATTGATGAGTTTTACAACCCCTTGGTTGAAGCCACTGCTATCGAATAACTCATATTCATAAAATGTTAGAATCACTCAAAACACTAAGGTTTGTCTAAACTAGGCACACATTTGCTCGAATATTTCGGAAACTCTAGGTTTCCGTTGTTCTTCAAAATCACTAAAGCTACACTTTATAAATTACATACCTCCGAAGCGCTTTTTTTTTGGAATACACTTTCATCAGGGACGCTCAAAGTCGAATATTTTAAAGCCAAGGATGTATAAGAACCGAAAGAATTGAAGAGCTAAATGTCCAAAAAGGACGTAAAAATAATACCGAAATCCATCTAAGTTCAACTTCATCATGGTATAGGATTGAGTATTCAAACTGTTTTGACTCGAATGCCACTGATAATGGTTTTTATGCGATACGCGCGTTTGGGTTATTAAAAGATTAGCCTAGTATCTTTGAGAATACAGATATGTTTACTTTTATCTGATAGGTTAAAATGATCACTTAAACTACCGAATTTATTTGTTAAGCATTCTCTGTACTTTTTAAAGGTATCGTTTGAAAAGGAAATGTATATACAAACTATAAATTTATACGAGACATATGGAGCTGGAGGTGTTTATAATATCACTGTCAAAAATCCAAGTGGGGATTGGTATGCAGTATGGGAAACTAACAATACGATACAGATAACCAAAAGCCGGATTTTTTGTCCTTCGTTCAAGGTAAATATTTGGATGTGTGTGAAAATTGCAATCAAAGGATATTGGTACTCTAAAACATAACTTCGAATTAATAACAAATATTTATCTCAGAAAACACTTTAAATGTTGTTTTTCATATTAACAGTGATGAAAAGGTTGTTAATGATCTATTATATACCTCTATGGAGTTATCTTCTTTTAGTACGATAGGTCTTTCTTTTTAAGAATCAACCCGGACGATACCAAGTTTCAATGAAATTTGCTTTAAGGCATAAAAATATGACCTGATTAAAATGCAAAATGTAATTTACCTTAACATTTATTAGTTATCGTGTGTTGTTGGCAAATGGGGTCTTAATTTTTAATTTTCCATCTTTGATAGTTGTAAGGCAGAATCCATCCTTTCCTCTACTTATTAAGACTCAAATACCAAAAAATCGTCCTTGACGCGCATTTTAACTTTCGAAACAAGTAAGTTGAAGTTTTGTTAATTTATCGCTACAATAGAGAGACAGTATGTGAGATGAATTAAATTATTCCAAACTTTTCATAACACTTAAAACAAGCAAGATTTAACACATTCGTGTGTAGGATTTTGAAAATCGTATTGATTCACACTGTATTGGAAATCATATTAAGTCTTTGACGTATTGGTATGCGTTTGTCGTGTTACATGTACATGTATCACGACTTCGTGCTCTCTTCGTGCCAGTTCTTAACTTTTTACACATATACATATATTTTTTTCTCTATCTAATGATCAAATGACCAAACTTGTCTTATTTTCCTCAAAATAACATCTACGTCCTTTATAATAATTATTTTTAGAAAGGGAGGGAGTATAATATTTCATCCTGGTTCTCAAAAAGTTTTGTTGCCAGACAAAACCGGGAACACAATATTCTGAATAATTAGTCAAAAATTGTTGTAAAATAATCTGCTTTTCCGCAATCAATAATCAGGAAGAAAAATTAAAAAATAGCATCCCCATTTCATTTTCTAAGTTGATACAATACATTACTTACAAAGTGACTTTTATTTGTCATACAACTTAACAAATCATTTGTGTCTTGCTACATGCAGTTATAGTAATAATTTTATTGTAACTGGATAATGATTTCTAAATTTATATCTAGAATAATTAGTGAGTTTATTTCACATAATGCATAAGCCGTATGGCGTATTAAAACCTGAACGCATTAGAACGGAATATTACAATTTAGTGTCGGTAAAATAGGATGCAATTTTTTGCAGAAAATAATATTTTTTGACGGTATATAAGTCTGATAAAGCATATTTTAAGGTTCTTCCTGTCGTATAACACACTTCGAGGTGTCAGAATTGCCCAGAGAAGACTTCCCAAAGGTAATTTTTTCATTTGATCAGATCAATCCTGACACCCCTCCCTACCTTCCTTTATGCATTATCTCTAACGTATATGACCATTCCCTATCCAATATACCCTCATTTTCAAAAGGCAGTCCTTATTTTCCAGATCTTCATCCCAGGACGGTCTCTATTGCAGGACCTCCATATTGATTTTATTTTTAATTTGTTCTCATCCTGAATAAGCATAACATACTTCCCTCTGGATGTTAAACAACCAACAATCAATCAAACTATCAATCAATCAATCAGTACTTTTCACCGCATTGTTGTTGACTGCTATCTCCATTGATCTCATTTTCCAGTGGCAGTCTAAATTAATCAATTCATATCAATCGGATCAGGAAAGGGTAATTTTCCTCACAAAAAGATTATTAGTAAGCGATTACTTATTTTATCTTTATTCAAAACTGAAAATAAATTGTATATACAACAAATCAAATATGAACATCTATGAAAATTGCTTAACTTTTTATGTTTTAGCCTGAAAAGGTTCTTTATATATGTAAACTTTTTAAAGTTTTAAATTGTTTGGCTATGTCAGAAAAAAAGGCAATCCACATGCATAGCTTTACTATTCATACATTAGCAACACTAAATGCCGAATTATATGACATTACGTCTTTTATAGCAGATGAATGTATGCAACTTCTAGAGAGTTGACCATTTTCCTAAAGATTGGGAATATAGAACTGCAACAAACGTTTAATTCGTGTTTTTACTGATTCTTACATATTTTACAAGTGTTTTAGGCAAGGCGAACAAGTACTTCAACATAAAGTATTAATAGATAACGTACACGCTGCAATATTTACTCAGATGGTAACTTTTCAACTATACCTTAAACTACAAGTAGCAACTTTCAAAGGTTTAATAATACTCACTGTATGGTTAAATTGTATTTATAAACAACTTTATTCCTTCTGAATCAACGTTTGGTTGTTTCAAAATTATTTGATTCGAGCGTCACTAATGAGTCTTTTGTAGACGAAAGGCGCGTCTGGCGTACAAACAAACTTTTCTCTTGGGACTATGAAGAGGTTTTTGTTATTGATAAATGGAAAAGGTACATTTTGAGAAAAAATGTGTCACGATTAAAACAAAAATCCATCATACTATTATAATTTATCTTTTTCAATGACAACGTTGCGCCCAGAAAATGTAAACGTTATCTAAGGATTAGTGATAATATTTGACTGTTACGTCTTTTAAAGTGAATTCATTAGACGATTGTTCAGATTAGAAAAAAAGAAATGGTGTTTTTTGGAATCATTTGGTTAAATTGCATGCAGCAATCAGGTCACCCAAACTTTTATCATTAAAAAAAAAACACGAAATTAAACACTTTCATTTCTGTGTGATTTCATTTTTGGGCAACATTTATGCTCAATAGTATGTTCAAATATGTTTGAGTCAGTCAGACGATTTTTTTTTTGTAATTGCGTCATTTTACTAGATTTTTTATAAATACAAAAATGATGTATTACGATAACTAACAAAACATGTGATCAAGTTAGATTGTAATGGGTATACTTGATTAACTTGAATTCCACATGCTTGTCAGTAATAGAAATAAAACTACTAATGATTCATGTCCCATTTGCTTTCTATGTTATATTTCAATTGCAGGCAGTCATAGCTATTATATATAGAGTATAAATAAAAAAAAATAGTAATTTCAAGTCACAACTATACATTATCCTGACTTGTGCTGAGTAATTGCTTATAAGAGTTCCCTGGTCCCCAGGTGTTAATAGTAAAAAAACAGGTACATCTGATCTAAACAACAGGGCAATTTATTGAATATTTTCTCAAATGATAACCTTTTGAACTGTGTACCTTAACTGCATAAGCAATATTTAAAGGTTTGATAAAACTTACTGTATAGATAATTTGTATTGATCAATACAATATTTCCTTCTGAATAAACTTTTGATTGACTAATAAAGAAGGTACATTTTTGGAGATAATATGGCACGTTTAAAAAATGCATCATACTGTTATAAATTATCCTTTTCAATGTTAAAGTTTCGTAAAGAAAATGTAAACACTACGGGTTGGTGACACTTTTTGACTGCGACGTCTTTAAAAATGAAGTTATAAGATTGTTTAGATTTGAAAAAAAAATATTGCAATTTTCTTGAACAATTTGGTTAAATTAACATGCAGCAAGTATGTGTAAAACATGTATCAGTAAATAGACAACACAACATTATTCACTTTTAATTTATGTGTGAAAACCTATAATTATCTATAAAATAAAAAAATAAAATAGGATGTTTTCAAATTACAACCCTCAAAATGATAATATAGAATATTTCAACCTTGGTAATTTAGCATGCAAACAGGTAAGACTTTTACTGAAATTTCAATTTTTGCATCATTTCAGACTTAAATGAAATGAACATTTATATTATGACTGATATATAGCAAACAGAAAGCTTTTGATCAAATCATCTTGTTTGTTTTCATGTTTAATTGGGTGTCTTTTTGTATTATTTTCACTTTTATTTTTAAGTTAGACAAAATAGCTATATGTATAAACGCTTGAAATTGCAGAATTTTACATAGGAAGCAATGAACCGTGACATTATTAATTATTTTACTGTCTTCATGATGTATAACTACGAACAAATAAAACGTTTAAAACTAAAACCGACATTTAACGTTATCTAAAATAGTACCTTCTCAAACAGATAAAAATAAATACATAATTGACGGTAAATTACACAGCAATAATTGCCTAATTTAACATTCATTACAAATGTTATATTTGTACCTTTTTGTGTGAATTTACAACACTTTGTTCCTCTGTTAAACACACTCCAATAATATATTTGCTACTTACTTATATGTATGGTTAATAGAGTTTCTGATATTTAATTTATTAATTTCAGAAACTTACATTTCGAGCAAGTGAACTACGTATTCAATCCATGACGTTCAATGTGTATTATGAACTAGACGCAGTTGAAATAACTGGAACTTATTAAAGGAACTTAACAGTTGCTTGTTCTTCTATATATAGGTCTATAATTTCTGATCGTTTATAATTGGTTTGACCTACAATCTGAATCGGTACGAGGACAACTGATAGGTCTGACGTAGTAAACTATAAGTTTACCATGGTTTAAACCTTGTAAAACACACATCAGTCAATCAATAATTTATATTATGAATGTCATGCAGAGTCTGCAAGAATGCAAACGGAAAATTGTTAAAGATAAAAAAAAAAAAAATACAGAGCAATTTGCAAGACCATGGTAACCAAAGCTATGAACATACAAAAAATTAATAAAATGCATCTTGCTATGAATGCATCAACCGCCATGCCAATCCTCCCTCGGTAAAAATGTCACAATCTGGAATAGGACGTAATCTGTGCAATTACAATACAGACGACTTTACTATTTCCTAAATATATTTTGTCCTTAAAGGAACACACCCTGTTAAACATGTCGTGCTTCCGAGGCGCTTTTCTTGATTGCTTTTCACAAGGAACTCTCAGACCATATATTTTTATGAAAGCTAAGGATGTACGATTACACATTGTTTGATTGACATTATGAACCTATCGATCAGTACAGTGTATTAATTTTGCAAACATGAAAGTTTTACATCGTTACAGCTCCTTTTTATAAATCCAACATTTTGATACAAACTTAGCCCGATATTGACTATTAGAAGTAATATCGAAGTGTTAAGAGAAGATGCACAGATAGTTAGGCATGTTCTCCTTTCTTATACAAATAGCCATATTTTGTTGCAATGTACATATATGTAAACTGAAACCGGAGATAATTTCAGATGCTCAAGAAGGGTCAGCAGTTCCTGCTACACCTACATATGTGCTCTTGTTTAAATAGAATGATGAGTCATATTCAGTAAGAAGGCATATATCATATAATAGTGGATTTATAAATGTCTGTTTTCTAACACTTAGAATTACAAACTTTAAGACATATAAAAACCATTGGTATATATAAATTAACATAAACTTTACCGAATGTGAACGTTTGTAATAAAATAAGGGTTTTCATACCTGTACGGTGGATAAACAAGACTTCCACTTGTTGACAACACAGACATTGAAAAATAAAGAACAAATAACACAATATTGAAACATAAACAACACGAGTCCCTTTTCACCAAAACTAGGGGTCAACGCAGGTATTCGGAAGGGTGCGTAGTTTCAGGCCAACTGGTGGCACTCGTGATGTTACTAATTGCCAGTAGGAATTCGGTGATTAGTCGTATTTTTTAATCATCTTGATGTTACCACATTCGAGGAAAAAGAAAGGATTGTAGCAAGGAGAAGTGGAACATATCCAATATCATTTGTGACTCAGATGGTACTTAACGGTCAAACAAATACTGATGCCGTCCTGAAAACGTTAGAATGTTTTCATATATGGGATCTTTGATCAAATTGTCTTGCAAGCAGCATCCATGTATCATGGATTGATTGATTGATTGATTGTTGGTTGCTTAACGTTCAGTGGCAAATATTTCATGCATATTCAGGACGAGAACAAGTTCACAATAAATACAATAGGTAGGTTCTGTAATAGATTAAGGGATTAAGGTCGGAAAAATTTAGACTGCCACGGGAAATGAGGGTATATTGGATAGGGACAGAAATTTAGCCTTGCAACAGGTCACCTACGGACCCCTCAAAGAGTTGTTGTAAAGGTTCTTAACGTGCAAGAGCGTGGCACTCTCTTTACACGAGGCATCGGATTTAACGTCCCCATTCTGACCGGACGTGGCTGCAAATTTGTACATCCCGCACAGCCAAACGGACGCCCCACTTTAGCACGGCTTTTACTGCCGGTCGGAGGAAGACCAATGGTGACCATACTTCTATTCCCCAGTCACCCTTGGGGGATGTATCATGGAAACGCAATCCCTAGAATACTGTATTAACTGCAAAGTGCAATTCAATAGAAGAAAAAAATATCAGCAAAGCATTGTCTCAGTTTTGTTTTTTATCTCTTTTGGAATTTTCCGCCATTTGAAAAAAATGAAAAGTCTTATATAACTTCATGACTTATCAGAAACGTTGAATTACAATTTATATCTTTTAAAAGATTTGATTTGAAAGTATTTGTTTTACTTTATACATGGTTGTGAAGAGTGGGGCCATCTCTTAACTTAACAACCAAATATATATCTACAATTGTGCAAAGTTTCATGTTTTTATCATCAAACCCACAATTCTTCTAAAAATATGCAAGAATCATCTGCACTACAAGCTTAATAAACCATGTCACCTAAGGTTTCCAAAATAATTTATGGAAACAGCAACTAAAAAAAATGGTGCTTTTAAACAACAAAGATATATGTTTATGACTCAGATTTGTTTTTTTCTGCAATAAAATGCAGGGTTAATTTTCCTACAACTGTCAAAATTAAGGGAATATTTGTTTTGCTACCCTTTTTCGTATGAAACCGGATGAGACGTACTATGATTTTGTGGTATTACACCTATATGTATGATATGCTCACATTTTTTCAAAATAGAGAATAAACAAAAGGATGTCTTCCTTTCGTGGAACTGACGATTTTCGACACTTACTGGCCGCTCACAACTACTACATCCATAGCTAACCTAGTAAGTATCATGTAATACCGAGCACGGTTTAACCTCGCATAATTGTGTGCCCTCGTTTATGATCATGTTGAATATAGTTCTCATTTTGTGTGTAATTTGACAGTGACAGTCTTATACGGTTAAATGTTACGACACACATTAAAGATATAACCAAGAAGGTTTGTGTTCACGTACAGCTTGTTAGTGTCGGTACTAAATTAGACCATCTGGACCATATGTTGTTTGTTGTTGCTTGTGTTTCTTTTTACTTATATTTTGTTTAATACCAGACAAGTCGAGCGTTGGTCAAGTGTTGGTGTGGTTTGTTGTACTTTGTGGTAATTATATGAGATATCTTATAAACTATATGAGATATCTTATAAACTATATGGGATATCATTTAAACTATATGAGATAACTTATAAACTATATGAGATATCTTATAAGCTATATAAGACATTTTATAAACTATTATTAATTAACTACTCTGTTATTGGACTTAATAGGATGACAACTGCCTTTGCTATACAAAAGTGTCAACTCGGCCAATACAGAAAAACTCGGCCAATATGTATTTTTTTCTGTATTGGTCGAGTTCTGATCCGGCCAATACAGGATTTCGGAACGTCTTTAGTTTTCAGATCGAAAGTCATGATAAACATAACTTAATGTAAAATGTTGTTTGGAAGACGCTGTTTTATCTACTCACCATAACCATGCCAAAACGTTCAGTGTGGCAAATATTTCAGGCTGAAGACGGTCACATTCATTTAAAAAAGCATTTTATAAGCAGACAACGAGTCTGTAGATATCACAAAGCACATTTCTTGTCGACCACATAACAATTTAAAGTAAAACAGTTTATCAGTTGAATGAGTGCATTTCAATTAACTGTTTACTTTCGCTTTTAATGTTTTTGTATCATAAATTTTTCAACCCGAACCTCATATGGATTGTTGAAGGATGACCTGTAATCTAATGAACAAGTCTTTGTTCTTTGGTCATGGTCTATGGATAGTTGTCTCATTGGCAATCATATTCAACTCCTAGTTTTATTTAGTCATTTTGTTTCTGAATCTCTCATGCAATGGCAGTACCTTTCCAATTACTATTTATGTTTTGCATTTGAATATGTATTGTAACACTTTATAGTGACTGAAAAGAGTTAACAAATCATCAAAAAATGTAGAAGACTCTTCTAAACAGCACCAGATCATTTGACATTGCAGCTTATAAAAGGAAACTCAAATTTGGTATGCTCGATTTTAATGTAAAACATATTAAAATCTTGTGAAAGGAAACAAAACACAAAAAAAGATAAACACTGTATGTACATAGTTAATTAATAAAGATATTATTACGTGATTATTTCTGTATTGGGCTTTTTATTGGTCATCGGCCAGCTGTATTGGCCTTCGGCTTCGCCTCAGGCCAATACAGCAAGCCTCGGACCAATAACAAAGCCAATACAGAAATAATCACGTAATAATATCATATATGAGATACCTTACAAAGTTAATTCGATATCATGAACTTATAATAAATAGTAAAACAACTTGCAATAATATCTCCATGCAGATTTTACACACACTGTTATACAAATTTATGGAACACTTTATAATAATCAAACGAACCTCCACCTTATACATACTGAAGTAATACTCTAGTGTATTGGACAATTTGTTATCTGTAAATCAAACAGATTTTTCTAGACATAAAACTGAAATTTATATCTTTGTTGTGCTGACAGTTCTGTTTTTCAAAAGGATTGCAAAGAACTACAGATTCTAAGACACTTAAAATGTATAGTCCTGAAATTGGACAAAATTTGGTTTTTAGTTGACGTAACTCATGTAAACATGGGATCTTTTCTAAACAAAAAGGATGTATGATGAATCTGTCCGAATTTAGTTTATCACTTTATGTTCAATTAGAGTAAATTCATTAATCCTGAGGATCCTTTAATAGAATCACATGTTATATGTTACAAGCACAACTTATGTCGACAAATATAATCGCCATTTGGGCAAAACGTCACAACAATAAATGAATGTGAGTGAAATACCATTCAATACAACGTATTTGATGGGGTTTATAGACTTAAAATTATAAACATGATAATCACCGGAGTAAAATATGCATATAGATTAAAAATTTAAATCACAAAAATAGAAGCCTTTATACAAATATAATTTTAAAATACTTCTGCAATGAATACTTTATTGATTTAATGATTTTAGGTGTAAAATTTCTTTAGAAGCAGAAAATATCGATTACAATTTACGAATTGTCCAATAACAAAGCATATACTTTTAACATAAAAATTGTAAAGTAAAATATGACTTGCGCATTTAAAATTCACTTCCTGATAATAGAATTGGAAAGGTATTTGAGGTATGTAATAGTTTTTTTTAACTTTAAAGCAATATACCGTTGCAATGGTTATTGCAGTATTATACTTTATGTAGACATATCAAATAATGTCTTTCAAATTTTACAAAAGAGAAGGATATGTGTTAAGCACTTAAAAGGCTAGAGAACACATGCACGTAACTTTTGTTTAAAGAAAATTCTTTATTTTATCCAAATCGTCCAAAATGTATGTATACTGCTATATATATTTAGTATTATCGTTTCGTATTATAATTCAACGACAACTTTTCCACATGCAGTGACCTAAGCAATGACACCTGTCGGGAAATGGAACAGCGCGAATTCGACGGGAAAAACCGCGTAAGAAAGAAAAGTTAACAAACGTTGAAGGAGATAGTAATCACGGATTCTGACAGAACAAATACATCAAATCATTTAACTAGTAGTAGTACAGTATAATATAAATAGCGAAAAACATGAGATTTATTTTTTATTTTATACACCACTTGGTATCTTGATTTTTTGCATTTTTGGAAAATGATGTGAGATCTGAATTTGCTACTTAAAGATAAGACTAAAACACTAAAAAAGTGTTTTAAATCAAAAGTGTAAAGTTTTAAGATATTCATTTATAAAAGGGATACAGAGTATATTGCAGTATGCTTTTATATGTCAATATAAATATAAAAGTAAAGGGAAGTGTACTTAAATATTTTCCAAGTTGAAAAATAGAAGGTCACACTTAGATTATAATATGATAAATGCATTCGTTATCCAGAAGTTCACATTTTTGTTTTCTAACGGCTCTGTGAGTCATAAACGATATATGTATCATCATTTGACATAAATGGGCAAGGGTTTCCACAGATACAAACATGAGGGAAAGAAAAAAGTATCCTACACTAAAATTATGTTTCCTATGCTAAATTATCATAAATATTCGGTAAGATAGTGGATTGCATAAACATGTTGATAAAGAAATAGACCGAAAGAGAGAAATTTCCAATATTATAGTTATTATGCCAAAACTGTTAAAATACACCTTAACACCCAGCACTAAAGACAAACTCTGTAAATGTCATCAATACTAAGTATAATGAAAAGAATATATAGGTGAACATGTGTTTATGCATGAAACAAATGTAATAACGAACAATTCCACAATTGATATAAAGTTCAATGGTACATATTTTACTCCACAGAAGGACTCGACAAGTGCATTTCGTTACTACATTTTCTTGAAGACTTACAAATGTTTGTATGTCATGTCTGTAGTTTTATTTGATGATGATATTGAGCATTGGTTTATCCTTTTCATTTTCCTTGGAGTTTATTAGATTTTACAATGTGCATCTACTATTATTGTTTTGATGCAACATATTAAAGTTGCATCTTGTATAATAGAAAACAAATGGCCATTGCTATGGGACAGTAAGACTCATAGATTGAAAATAAACTGACAACGCCATGGCTAAAAAACAAAAAGACAAACAATAGTACACAAAACACAACATAGAAAACTAAAGACTAAGCATCACGAATAGTTCATGTTATTACAATCCCGGTAAATAGTCTAATTCGGTAGGTCACGTTCGTGATAAGGGAAGATGATTTCAGTTACGACACAAGGAACATATCCGATATCATCTGTGAAACGGTAAATCCATAACGGTCAACCAACTCGTCATGGCGTCCGTAAAATTTACGAAGGGATGATTTCAACTTCACCATTTGAAACTCTTGGTTTAATAGTTTCCTTGTGAGCAGCAACCGTTTATAAAGGAAATCAGGATAGGAAATACAAGCCCGGTAAAATCGTATCAATTGTGAGATATATACTCCGTATGCAGGCGCTGCTGAAATGTTGCTACATAGAAATTGAAAGTTCACAATTGAGAAGCTAAAATCATCTCTTTTCTCGCAAAAATCTGTTTTCAACCGACCCGCATTGTCAATTTCTAGATGTAATTCAAGATATGACGCAGACTTAATTGTATCAGTTGTATCCTTTATCTAGTTCGATGGATAGTTGTGTTCAACATAGTCACCAAATTTTGAATTATTTAGTGAAAAAACATCATCTATATAGCGGAAAGTAAAGTTAAAGGATATTGCTTACTTCTTATCTACTTCCTAAGAAGTTCCTGTATGAAGTCAGCCTCATAATAATTAAGGAACAAATTGGCAAGAAGTGGGGCACAATTGGTTCTATTGGAATGCCGACAGTCTTTTGAAAAACACGTTCTCCAAACGTAACAAATATGTTGTCAATCAAGAAATCAAGCATCTTGATAATGTCAGTTTTAGAGAATTCGTTGTTTGATCAGAGTGATTCTTTACAAAGTAGGATTTATTCCTCACTAAGACAAGATACTTATATCTATGTAGGCCATTCTTTTTTATGAAACGATGCAATGCCAACTCTTTCAATTTGTCTTTTAGTTTGGAAAGGAGAATACTTGTGTAAAGTGTAGAAAAGTCAAAAGATAAAAGAGTCTTAGATTGTATGTTCTCTAAAAGATCTTTGGAATTTTTTATATCAACATCTGAATCACGCCACCCTCGAAGAGTCGAGGGCCAATACAGCTGATCGAGAACCTATAACGGCCAATACAGAAACAGCCAGTTCATAACACTTTAATTAAATGATTTTAATTCTTTTAATTAGAATAAACTAATACACTTACCGTGAAGAAGATACAGAATTTCATATGAACTTGTCTTTTCGCATTCACCTCCATGGATTTTTTGTCAACATTGTCAGATGTAATTTCTGATTTCTCGTCCAAGTACTTAATATTATGCTTTTACAATTCATTTTATCTAACAAATATAAAGTAGCTGGGAAGAATATATCAGACAGTTAAACTATTCTTACTCTTGGACCGTCTGCGTGATTGAGGGTCGTAATGGGGGTACCTTCATGACGATTAACGGTAAAAATTCATGCCATATGACATTAACGGTAATTTTTGGTGCAGGACGATAAAATGTACACTTTCTTTTGACGATAAAAAAATCAACGGATTTTGACGAATCACGATAATAATTTGAGACCTCTGACGAATCACGACAAGAATTTTTTTACGAATCACGGTAAAATTTTAACTAATTTGACGCTAACGGTAGCCGAAAATGACCATTTGACGCCTGACGGTAAAGGGCATTCATACCCTCATAATTGATCAACGGAAATGAAACGGTGTCAATAATCGAACGTCTTACTCGATAAGGCTGTGACATATTTCCGTTTCAAGACTTCAAGACGTTACAAAACACTGAACATCATTTAAACTTTTTATTTTATGATTTTAAGTTAAAAAATATTATACAAATGTTTTTATGCATAACGATACGTCCAAAGTTAAGTAAGGCGTAAGAAAATTGAAACCGGAAGTGAACGTCCCGTTATAGCCCATGGGCCAATACGGCTTTTTTCCGTATTAGCCCTGTTTTTTCGTATTGGACCTGTCTGAAAAGCAATATTAACTATTGATTTATTTCGACAGGGCAACGTCATCAGTATTGCACATGCTGATTTATCCGTATTAGGGCTGATTTGATCATATCATTTAATAATCTATTATAACACGCTCTGTTCTATTGCATACCGAAAGGTACAAGAACGACAAACCAAGAACAGTAAACATTATTTTTTGTTTTAGACTTGCTATACGTAAAACACAATTACTTTTCCTTACACGACCAAGATGTAAGCTATACATATTGTCTGTTCTATGGCCGGGTTGTTGTCTCTTTGACACATTCCCCATTTCCATTCTCAATTTTATATGTAAACCTTTATAAAAGTACTTCCTTCTCAATTCATTCATATTTTATATTCATTCATCATTGTATAGTTTTAATTGTGTTAATCAACAATCGATTATCAGTTGGGATAGCTATTGCTTATTAAGTAGAACGCGATGTTATTGAACAAGACCAACGCAAATATGCATATTATTTTAATTTAGAAATTTACACTAAAATCAATATTAATGTAATATTTATTGTCTAAGTAACAATATACTTTGATAGTTTTTCAGTGATACAATGGAATTAACAACAAACATTAAAACGAAGATCAATAACAATATCGATAAGTATTGATTAGTTTCATACCTTTTCAACGTTGAAATATAAAAATGCAAATTAAAGTTGGTGAATTGAAACAATACCTGTTTTAATTAGTGAACAAGTGATCAATACAGTTTTTCATATCAAGATTATTGAATAATTGAGAAGGTATTCTATATAAGGCAATCAAAAAGACGTTTTGGTGTTTTGTTTGGTGAAAAGTTTCCAACCGATTGATTATATAGTGTGTTTATGTTAAAATAAATATCATTGTTTATATAATTTCATTTGCAACATTTAAATATTCCTGTCATTCTGGGAAAAATCAAATCGACAATACCAAAGATAAACTTAAACAATATAGAACTGTGACTATATACTATTTTTTTTTATTTGTAACACTGTTTGTATTGTTGTATGGTTAAATAGTTGGAATAATACTTTCTGAAAGGAAAAGTTATTTATTGGAACTAACATTCTATTAGAGGTAATCATCTAGCGTTCTCTCAATTTATTTATTTCACTCAATATCAATACACACTTGTTATTTGTACTTAAAATTTTATAGCACGATTTATTTGTATCTATTATAAACCGTTGTATAATTTTGTATAATTGTACAGCTAACAGAACACTGAGATTCATCTTTAAAGTAAAATAACATACATTTAATTCTCCTATCTTCACGACAATCTGATACAAGTTTCACAAGACACGTTTAAAACTATTCGTATGGCTAGCAATCATATATGAAACACTATCGTCTACTACAAGTGTCAATGTGCAGCAAATTAAAACGACTATGACCACAAAGCAAACGTAAATGATAAGCATACAAGATCCAGTACCAATTTCTGATAAACGATTCCTGCTGTTAGTTAGAACACATACTCATACCAGTCTTTTAATTATCTAATAATTGTAAGCCGGTTTGATTCAGCACATTACCTACTAGATCAGTGTTTATGCTTCAACAATGCAGTGTTGCGTGAGTGTCTTCAACACGTGAACTAAACTGTACTATGGTCCCATTCGTAAACGTCATTTTAGAATAGTTTCATCAGAAGTAGGGTTCGGAATATTTATATATTTATATGTAGAAATAAGGCTATTTATAATCGTGAAAGATCGAGGACTACTTGTTACTGATCGTGAAAGACCGGCCACTACTTGTTAGTTATCGTGAATAGGATCGTGAAAGATCCAGTGTCGCTTATTTGTCGTTGCATAAATCATTGAGAGGTTTAATTTAGTTTTTTTTTAATTAATATCAAATTTGATCGTTGTAATGAGTAAAGCATGTACTAGACTTCAATGACTATTTTTGCTTCGCCTTTGATGGGGAATATGATTGTTGGGCAAATAAATGATAAGTCCGTGGTGTCCTTTAGCAATTTGAAATGTATTCCCACTGTCAAAATTACCGTTAAAATGCATCATTAATTTCTATTAACAGATATGAAACGCACAAAGAAGATAGCCCGAAATAAATCATTTTTTAAATGCGTTGTGTTGAAATGTTTTATGGCATGACACGCAACGATTGATTGTGAAAGTATGCTTCAAAACTAAAGAAAAGTATTTTATCCATATTTGAAATGTTACAGGAATTAGATAATTATCAGTTTTGCCATTGTATGTTATGTTTGATCCCTCATCCCAAGTATATGAAACACATCTCTAGTAAACCAAGAATGCTGGTTCACGTAACCAATCATGTTGTGTTGCTTTCATTGTTATTGGTCCTGATGGCGACGGATTATATGTTATTATAGCCTTTGAAAACAATTAATACATGAAGTTGCCGTTGGTGAAGCACCTTTTGAGGGTGACTGATGGGGTATTGGGATGACCATTAAGGAAGCTGTCGATGATAATGATAGGTTATAACGATTAGTTCAGTTGGTAGTCCCGATTAAATTTACATTTTCATGAATTTCAATTACCATGAAAAATGTATCTGTAAAATAAAACTGAAAACAACTCGCTACTTCAGAGTTCTTCTACATACGAAAGGCTTAAATCGGTATTTAATAACTTAAAGGTCACATCTGTCACTTGCAAAATGTTTCTGTGATTTTAGATATTTAGAAATACAGAATGGTGTCTGATAAGTGCAGTTTCCAATTTGTGATCTTTTGGGTGTGGATTGTTATCGCGGGCAATTTATGCATACCAGGAGACGTTTACCCGGTCGATGAAATTAATGTCGCTCCTGATTAGAGTCAAGTAATTCCCTCCGGTATTGTCTTAACTTAAATTGTATGATCTTTAAGAACATATGGGTATCAACATGGTTAAACTAACGTTGCCTATTCATTTTTCTTTATATCTATCTCGAATTATTTCAAGTGGTTTTGATTTCATTATAGGCATCGACAGGTCCAGGAACTTTCTGAAATTCGTCAAGTATCTACAATAACAAGTAGTCCAAATGGCAGGTAAGTTGACATGATTCAATGTAATTTGTTTACCTTGATACTGATTTTAAGAAGTTGCGATTGATTTTGTTCAGACCTTGTCCAATACATGTTTGCACCGTCGGTTTGATTCAATCGTAGGATTTTTGTAAAACTATGAAACAACAGAAAACCAGAGATAGATACGTTTGGAACGCTCTCTAATACTAATAAGCATGTATAAGGTAAAACAAGTAAATTGTGCTTCTGTTGTGTGTGTCAGAAGTATAACTCCCATTTATGAAGATCGTATAGTGTAAACATGCACGACCGGAATGAATTGATTAAGATATACATCTGCATGCTTACTGAGGGTAGAAGATGTATTATTCCGAGCAATTAGAAGTTGACTTTTGGAACGTTGTATCCATCAGCTTTCAGTTTGAATTGTATATTCGATATTATATGAATAAAGGATAGGAATATATCAAGATATGAAGTAGACCTCGGTATAGTTTCGGTGGTACTCTTGATCACAAGTTCACTTTGATATATGAGATTCACGGACTCACTGATATGTGGGTTATTCAGTGATGTGACATCTTCAATATGCAATGTATATATCAGTGAGTTCAAGAACTTTTGAACATTTTTCTGTTGTCTTTGAAAATATTATGTATGATTCATGCTTATAGTGCGGACAAAAACAAGTCTGCCAGTAGGAGTGCATAATTAGATCTATTGGCATCTGGGCAGTCGATTAAAATATCGATCCACAAAGGAAATAGCTAAAATAAGACTTTACAGTGACTTTTGTTCTATTGTTTAAGTTGTGCATGTTGTCCCGATTGATACGATATTCCCGGGCTTGTATTTCCTATCATGATTTCCTTGATAGAGGATTGCTGCTCACAAGGAAGCTATTAAACCAAGAGGTACAAATGGTGAAGTTGAAATCATCCCTTCGTAATATTTACGGACGCCATCACGAGTAGGTTGACTGTTATGGAATAACCGTTTCACAGATGATATCGGATATGTTCCTTATGTCGTAACTACAATACCCTTCCCTTTTCACGAATGTGACCTACTGAATTAGATTATTTACCGGATTTGTAATAACATAAGCAACACGACGGGTGCCACATGTGGAGCAGGATCTGCTTACCCTTCTGGTGCACCTGAGATCACCCCCAGTTTTTGGTGGGGTTCGTGTTGCCTAGTCTATAGTTTTCTATGATTTGTCTTCTGTACTATTATTTATCTGTTTGTCTTTTTATTTTTAGCCATGGCGTTGTCAGTTTATTTTCAATCTATGAGTTTGACTTCCCTCTGGTATCTTTCGTCACTCTTTTGTGTATTAAAAACATAAATTATGATCGAAAATATCATGCTCTGAAAGAAGTTTACGATTATCATGGGTGTTTTAAGTTTTATAACTTTGTTAAGTTTTGGCAAAGTTCTATAAGTAATAAAAATAGTAGTTCTCGTTAGAATTTTAAATAAAATTTGCTCTTCAATCGAATTTAGTTCTTTTGTAACCATTTTGAAACTTACATAAAAGAAAACGAAAGCCTTCATATCTCCAGACATTATATTAGTTTTAAATCAAGAAAAATAAAATGGGAATGTTTGAATCATCATGTTTTATCAACATGAAATACAGTGTATCATAAAAACTATTTTCCTTTTACATTCACCATGTTAAACTTGGTTTTTTAATTGTCATAATAACATGCTAAGCAGTAAATGATCTGCACATACACCAACTGAATATGACAGAAACAATCAAAAGACAAACGAGAGTCTTCAAAACATATCATACAAACATAAAGACTGATCAAAACAATCCTAATAAAAAAACAGTAGTAATCTCAGGACCTCCGAAAGGTAATCAGATCCTATCTGCTCCATATGTGGGACCCTTTATTTTGATTACTCGAAGCAAAACTGGTTTCTATAAGAATGCTGATTGTTGTTGTAAAAACATGTCCTGCAAACGTAACAAATATGCTATTTATCAAGAAATCAAGCATTTTGTTGATAATGTCAATCTCAGAGAATTTAGAAATCCAACGGATTTAGTCTGACAACTACAGGACCATACGTACTGGAAACTGCATATACAGCAATATGTATTTAGTCATGTTTATTTTTTAAAAATATAATTATTGCTTCATGCAGTTGCTCTAACACAATAAAACCAGGTTTAATCCACCATTTTCTACATTAGAAAATGCCTGTACCAAGTCAGGAATATGACAGTTGTTTTCCGTTCGTTTGAAGTGTTTCAGCCTTTGATTTTGCCATTTGCTCAGGGACTTCCGTTTAGAATTTTCCTCGGAGGTCGGTATTTTTGTAATTTTATTTTTAGTACATGTAGTATACCAGACAAATTTATAAAATCAATACCTCTGTTAATGTATTATAATTGTAGCAAATGTCTTTTATGCACTTTTATGAAGGTTTGTTAACAAGTGGGAATGTTCCATGTTGACACAACATAAAACTGTAATGATACGTGTACAATCATATCCAGGAACAAAATGTGATACTGTAATTTACTTATTGTTGTTGACCAAGTTTGCATAGTAATTAATAGCTTGTCATTTTTTTTTAAACAGATATACGATCATCACGTTTTAAATTAGAACGGTTGTTAAATCGTTGATTGTAGATAATGCAATCCCCATGCAACCGACCTTTTATAAACATTATCTTGTGTCAGAGTCATTAACAACATGTGCATCTAATACAAATGATACATTTTTGATAGAGTTATCAATCAGCACACATAAAATTGAAATAGTTTCAAAACGCCATGAACAGTCAGAGAACAATATGGCCGTATTCAATGCAAAAATATAAAAGTATCGACGTATATAAGATTTGATGAAACAATACATATTTAGATATCATGTCTTAATTGATCAATGAGAAAAATAATGATCGAAGATATAGATTTATCTAGACATTATAATGATGCACCCCATTATTGTCTTAATGTTTGTATCGTGTACGAAATATGTGGTGAAAATGTGGAGCCATTTAGGACAACAGCTGTTTTTTTTTAATGTATTATTCTTAATCGGTAATTTGTTCTTTAAAGGATATATTTACACGATTGAGGGTCTATTTAAATTAATTTGTATATAAATGAGGGAATATGTATATTTTGAAGACACAACAAAGAGAATATAATTATGTGGATTTGGAGAAAATGAAATGACCCCCAAAAAATTAAGATTTTTCTCTTTTTTTTATAAATTTATTTCTTTTTGCATTGTATTTTTAGCATTCAAGCCATATAAAACGATCTCTAGTCTGGTGTGTGCCAGCAAATACTTTCCAAACATAAATCAGTGGAAACCTACGTTAGCTGCAAGTTTTTCGACTAAAAGTAAGTATATAAGTATAAAAATTATTGACAGTGCAGCTGTTTTAAAAAAAGTAAACTAAAATACCAAAAAGAAAATACATTTGAAGTGAAGAGGAAGAATGTGATGTCTTGCTTAATTACATGCATATATATCTAATCTCGTACCCAGGATAATTTTAAATGAAATATGACTAGGTTACGTTCAATAATCTGCTACATATTCTTTTCAAAATTAGACAAATTTCCAACATTCGTCGTCATCCAAAACGCAAAGATATGCTCGACAAGATCTTAATTTGCTTTTTTTAAATAATCAATAAATATTTTGTTTGAATCGAAATCAGAAAAAAATAAAATTTAGTTTTATGACTGGCTCCTCACTTTAGACAAAAATTGGGAAAATATTCGCAAGTGAAACGGTTTAATTCATAATATGAAAATTGGCAATATTGACCTTGTCTTTTCTTAACGGTATATGGTTAAAAGATTAATAGTCATCCATCTCGTAATTTGAATTCAGAAGGTGTTTGGTATCTTTTCAGACAATTCAGTATAATTTAGAGGTGAACAGGTAAAGAACAATTACAATAGTCTGAAAACATACTGGGCAGATCTTAACTGACTGCAAGCGAATTGTCTAAACAGTACTGAATTTACTGCAATTTGAAAGACATAATTTTTCTTGACAATTTATTGTTCAGTCATTTAAGAGTTGGTTTACTAGTGTTATTCGTGGAACACATAATTAACAATTTAACAAATATGTACCACACTTCCGCAGATGAAATAAATTTGTGTTACATATTATGAAAAACTTAGATTTTTTTTGTGTCATTTTGACAAAAAATAAGGACTGTTTATGGTTCTATTATGACTTCGTGTAAAGTGACCTTTATAGGAAAAAAAAAGTTATAATAATGCATTACAATGGTTGGGTTAATGAGTTACATTTATGAACATTATTTGCTGCTGAAAAATAGAGTGAATATTGCTACGTTGCTATACTTAGACATTTCATGGTTTTTAACACAAAAATTGATAAAAACTATTTTTCTTAAAAATTCAACGTAAATAAATCTTGACATTTTCATTTGCATAGCTAATCTTGAAAGACATTAAAGGGACAATCAAAATCATAAGTCAAAAATAAACAGACAACGTCATGGCTAAAAACGAAATATTACAACAAAAACTTAAGACTGACCAACACAATCTCCACCAAACACGTGGAATGATCTCAGACATGGAAAGCGTATTCGTCTAACTTTTCACATTTTTTTAAACAACCTTAACCCCCAAGGATAAATGGGGTATAGAAATATGTTGACAATTTTAAACTGATATCTCGTGTAAAAAGAGTGTCACGCTCATCAAACGGGAAAAACCCTTGTAATAACTATTTAAGGGACCGTAGGTGGGTGGTTGCAAGGTTATATTGCCTATCCTATTTACTTTCATTTCACAAAATACCATTATCCTGATCCATCCCCTATTAGAGGGCCTACCTATTAAAATATATGTCAATTTATTTTCGTCTTGAAGTTGCATAAAATATCTGCCAGTTGTAACGCAAACAGCAACAAATTCATCAACCGAACTGCATTATTGTTTGAAATTTAAAACATGTGTTATTTGTTCTATTTTTACTTCTTGTGACAACGTATTTTCGTTTTATTGGATTAACGGCAGGATTCTTTTAAGATGACACTACAGACATAATGAAGTTAAAAAATTATATATATAAAAACACAAACAGGGGTAAACATCAACGTTGAAGGAAGATAAATGAAGTTAATAATTTACTGAGGATTTCATCCATTTAACTTAAATGTAGGTTCTCTCTACTTTAACATGCACTTTTGTAATTTTCTCTCTAACTATTGTAGTTTTGATTGAAAAAAAAATGTACAGAATTAAAAGGAGGGATTGCAGTCAAACAAAAGGACAGTTGAACAATTGAAAAATTGGATAAGGACAGTATGTCTGTTCTTTAACGATGGCTAATCACACACCGATCAGAAAAACAATTTCCGGCACTTTTTTTTTATAGAATATAAGGGAGAAACTGAGCAACTTCCGGTTATATCAAAGTAACTTCCGGTATCAAATAAAAGAATACTTCACGGTGATTCCAAAAATAAATGGTTTCTATATACTTTTGCTTGAAATAGGAGATATGAATTGAAAGCAAAGGTCAACGATTAGAACGCAAAATTTAACTTTGACCTTGGCCTGAAAATTCATGGTCATAAATCAAGGACATCAAAATAAAATATCCAAAGTCTCTACTGTATATGGTTAATGAGTTATCACAATACAGCTAGTGTTAAATATTAGAGGGGATAACACTATGAAATGTAAATGAACCGTTTTAACCAAAATATATATGGTACGACATATCGCGACTAACAATTAAGTAAAAATATTTTGTCGATATCGTATATGGTTTCTGTGATTATAAGCCAAAACTAAAATCAGAACATGGAATTGACCTTTGACCTAGACCTCATATGATTGTCGATGGACCAAGGATCTCAAACCAAAAGACCTTATTACATAATATGCTTTACCAGTTACAAAAACATACAACCTATTTCAAAAACATAAGGGAAACCAACTCTCATATGGAGTCATCGGATCGCTTCGGTCAACATTTTACAAAAAATCCTAAGAGACTAGAATATAAATTATTGATGGTATGAGTAATGTGGTGGGAAATAATTCATTTAATGCAGACGAACTTTATACAAAAAAAAAGAAGTTATAGTAAAATGTTCCCGTTATAGGTTGAGAGTATTCCACTTTTTAAAAATATATTTGATAATACTAACACATACTCTTTAACTAATATGCTACTGGTCTACTTTTAAGCATCTGTATCAATAAAAAGGCACCTTTTTGTCATTTCTGAAATATGACTCTCCAATAGTTACGTGCGTCACAATTGGTATTGAGCGTTGACAAATTATAGTTATAGATTTTACTGCATCATAAATATAACATTTTACCTAAACATATAACTAATGATATAATAAAACATATCTTGCATAGGTTCAGTTAGAAAACTAGTTTTTAATTAACAAACGTTAAATGCTTTACATGTCAGAAAACATAAAACAAAATAAATTTGTAATTGTCTTGCTTCTGGTTAATACGTTCTGACTTATATTTGATTATTCTAAATGTAATAATGTATGCTTTGGATGGATTTGTTTTTTTAACAATTGTGTCATATTTCAATAACTGATCTAAAGTAGTCTATAATATGTAATAGTAGAACTGAGTGCAAATGATAGCTTACGTCTTAGCTAAAAAAAACCATCTGGCACAGGATTTTATGTAACATAAATATCTACATTGTTTGCGGTACCGTTGCGGCATCCGTTTATGATACAATGGACATAGGCTCAACTTATTGTCTAATGTAATATATGTTTTCTTCCATAATTGTTTAAAACATAAATGTTGGTTTTAAATTCCTTACGTTATAGAGGACTATTGTTTTAGCTAAGAAACTTGTGTACACAAAAAAATCTCTTTTTAGCATAAAAACAACACCTGACTACCTTGATTGAAACCAGACAATATGCATCGTGTTATCCGTATATCAAACATATGGATATTTTGATTTTTAGGTTTTACCTGGATGCATTATATTGTTTACAAATACACTATTTGCTATATGTACATATTTTAACGTTATAGGTTTTGGCCACCGCATGGTCATGTCTCAGCTCTGATGCAAACTGTAGTAAAAATATTACTAAAGACATTAATTCGTAAACATTGTCTTGTGATTGAACATTTACTCCCAGTTCAACATTCCATAAAACACTTTATAGAATATTACTAACGAATGTCCCTTTAGAACTCCATATTAGAGTAACAAACTTAAACTGAAAGTGATTGTTTTCATGTTGGTAAGTCAATAATGTTTTATTTTAGAAGAGTAGGTGCGAATGTAGTGTTTGTGCGACTATGTATCAGTCGATGATGAGTGTTGATCCGTTATACCATACAAAAAATGTGCTAGACATTAACAACTTGTCGTTTTGAACATTATAAATTCGTTGTTTTTTTTATAAAATAGATACATAAATATTTATTTAATATTTTTGCATGTATGCGATTAAATTAATCTATTTGCCATTTTGAATTTGGATGAGATTTTTTTTAACGTATAATCAGAATGATATGTCGGTTTTCCTGTACCATGATATAAGAAACAGACGGCCATAATTTGCACTAATTGTTTATCTATTGCCTTGTGGTGGTCAACATTTACACTATTTAATGACATGTATTTGTAAATTCCGATATAAATAATTACAATAATTAAGTATGTTACACTACTTTGCATAGCTAAAAATGCAGACGCAATACACTTTGAAGTACACATTGTAGATGTCGATAATCACACATTGACAGACGATGACCGCAAAGATCTAGCTCATGTGGCACTACTTGTTTTTGATGTTACACCAAAAGCGATGAGAAGATTAGTAAATGGTTGCAACGAGGATTCAACTGCAAACACCATTAGAGAGGAATACATGAAGTACTGGAGAAGAAAAGATACTGGCGATATGTTTTTTGATAGGCTAAACAAACACGAGAAGGGAATGTTACGAAATCTAGATGATGGATTTGGCAATTGTGACACATCTTTTCTTTATAAGATTATCAAGAACTACGCTTTAGTTCCACCACCAACACATGGCTGGACCAAAAAAGTGGAGGACTTAAAGAGCTACGGAGATGTGGTTGAATTATTGAGACAAGTGCGAAATTTGTTCGTTCATCGTCCACAAGTCACATTTTCAGACAAGAGTTTACTTTATATAACAGAAAACATTGTTCAATCAGTGGTGGTAGTCTCGATGAATTTTGAAGAGCCAACATTAATAAAAGAAATGGATAGCCACTTAGAATGGCTGTGATAAAACGTTATGATCGATCCAGTTCAATAATCATTCTTTCAAACCTAATATTTGTAACATGTTAAAACTGTAACTCAATTA